CACACACACACACACACACACACACACACACACACACACTCTCTCTCTTGTGAACAGCAGCCAGTATTGCTCATCAAATGCTGGGAAGGTTTATTTATGGCTCAGGTTTAAAATGTTGAGATTCCCACCAGGATATTGGCTGTTAAGCAGCCTCTCATCTTAGCACACGTTGTACATTCCTTTTGTATTGTTTCTTCTGTTTGGGGTTATAAAAAAGAAGGAGAAACAAAACACATTAAAGGGGTACTCTGGCAATTCAGTATTGCACTTCCATTGAGTCGGGGGACCATAAAGGCTGATCTACTCTAATTTATAGAACAAAAACTAAATCAGAGTTGGAGATACTGACTTTTAGAACTGAAGTGATTGGTCAATTAATCAATCAGTCGATCGTTACGACAGTAACTTGAATCTATTTGGGTTTTTGGACATTTGAAGATGTCATGTTGTACTATTATGATGGACATTATTCACTATTTGTTTGAACAAGTGGATGAACTGTTAATCCGCCGTGACAGAGTAGAAAACTCCATGTTCACAATTTGCTCTAAAATCTGTTTTAGGTAATGTTATTACATGTGGTCAGATACAAAGGAACCCAAAGTGCATCAAGAATGGACTGTGATCTGATCACTGACATCCAGATGTGTGGCGCATTAGGCTTCACATTACACCTCAGGACAGCAGCTTATGTGGCATTCTCACCAAATCACATCAACAACACAGTGAAGGATTCTAACCAGCTGTTAACATGTTAACATGTTCAGCTACGGCCGGCATGGTAAAACATGTTGGTAACAAGAAAAAAGTCACCTGTTGAGTTGAGCTGAGCCTCACAAACTACTTCACAACAGAGCAGCCGCGCAATGAAATAGTTTACCAGCTCAGTTTGCGTCTGTTTTCTCTCTGACATGGAATATGCTCCTTGGAAGGTTGATGTTTGTTTAAACCTAGCATCTGAACCAGAAAATCAAAAAGAAGAAACAACATGGATGCCCTTAACAGCTACTGTCTTTATCGGCAACATCATGACTAACATTTTACTTACAAATTCATTATTTAGATTTCCCTGTACCTATAAGGATGATGCCTGGACAATAGAGTTATGTCAGAAGTTTTTTCTCCAAAAGACTGTCCTAACTAAATTCTCTGGTTCTTTTTTTTTTCTTTTACTTCCAGACTTCCACAGTTCAAAGAGGAGGCCAAGAGTTTTGTGGGTGCCAACATGAAGAAGGTAAAAGCACTGAAATGTTGAATGTTTGTGTGCTCCTTTTCTAGTTTCTACTGTCTGGGTTTTGCTCATTGTCATTGTGCCTTTTCTAAGGTTTCTGTCTGTTTTATTTCTTTCAACTTTTCTATTATTGTTGGCTGATAATGAAAACAAGCTACATACTGTATAAATACACACAAAGTCAACTTTCCCCTTTCTATCGTTTTGTTTGAATGGCTGTCGTGTTGCTGCTATACGTGTCAAATTTATATCAGACCTGAATATCGAGCTGGAGGCAGTTGCTCCAGCAGTTTTTGCTTTTTGCATGGTCTGTCTGCCCGTCCACTCACACTGCTCATTAGCTGGCTGCACATTCTCTAGTGGTTGGAGCCCATAGCGGCTGTGTCTGTGGATCCCCCCCCCCCTCCCACCATGCACAGTGTATGTTCCGTTGTGTGTTTTGTATTTGTCCCACTGCTGACATGTTACCCATCACTAATCACGGGCACCTGCTCGCTCCCCTTCTCTTCTGAGGCTTACAATATCTTGTGGAAAAACAAACGAGTGCAGGTAAGGAAGATGACTTTCAGTATTTAGGCTGGACAATCTCTCCCTGTAACCTTTCCCGTGTCCTTTTTTACAGACCGCACCAGCCGCCCAATTTTCTTAACTTGGCTAGAAGGAGCAATATGCTGTATTTAAGAGATCTTAAAAAATCAACTGATGTTGACGAGTCGTTATCAAGTTAACATAGTTGACTATGACATGTCTGTGCTTGTGAATGCTCACATTACTTTAATATTATTATTTAATGTTTAGTTTTTGATTGTATCTTCTTTTTGGCTTACACCCTCATGCACATGTTTCAGCTGCTGTGTATCATGCTACCCATGTACCTTCTCAGCTGTTGCAGGATTGAGCATGTCTCGGTAGTTTTTCTGTTTGTTTTTAAATCAACTTAAGCAGATATAAAAGAGTCTAAAACTGTGAATGGTTTGAATAAATGAACACCAACACTCCCACTGAAGCAGGACCTTTAAAAAGACAGCACATCACACCAAAGCAGAGGGAGTGGCAGTGGCTCTTCTTAGCTTACAGTAATTGTGTGCATGAACATACAGTGCTGTTTTTTTTCTTCTGAAATGACCTGCTGCTTAATCCACAGCTGAAGCTGGGCTGGTTTTAGGCCATGATCAAATAGGATGTTCTTCACCACTCATTTCTCAGAGCACCAGGGTTACACTGATAGCCAGAGGGGTTTCTATGTGCATCTACCCTTTGGGTCCCAATTATGTCATACACAATGATTATGACAGGTGTATTTTTGCCTCAGATATTTAAATTAGCTTTTTCTGTTTGATTAACTATCATGTAGTACAAGGGAAACAGTGTAATAAATCCGAATGTAACAAATTCCAGATTTTATTTGAAGCAGCCCTGGGACAGTTCAGTATGTAGCTTCAGTGATGCTGTTGGATTGAAAATATGCAGCTGTTTATTTGACAATGTCTTTCATTTCAAACAGTACTCCACCTATTTAGCATTGCACTCCTATAACATGATCAAACTCAGGAAGGACATTTAAAAAGGTCAACACAAGTAGAGATATCTTCTTTTAATTCCATGCATTCTCCTTGCTTTTCAAAATCTCCTTGTGGTCTTCAGGCCCAAGTTACTTCACAGATCTCCCTCTGGGCTCTTTACAGCTGACGTACTCGCCAACACCTGGAAACACACTTTGATGTACAGTATTGGAGAATACCCCTTTGTGATTTGGCAAAGCTAAGAAAAAGTAGCTTAAACATTGTTGGACTAAATGGCATTTATTGTGATTGCACCCTTTAAGCTGCTCACAGCTAGTCTCTTATTTTCTGAGAAGAAAAGAAGCATCTTCAGAGAAACAAATCATCCTCTCTGATCATGGCCTTAATCTGTAATGATGGTCCAGTCGTACAGCGAGTTTGGAGAAGCCCTACTCAGTGATCCACTCTGTTTCCTCTAGTTGAAGATGCGTGCCGGTGGGATGAGTGAGTCATCCAAATGGAAGAAGCAGAAACGCTCGCCGAGGCCGCCTCGCCACATGGTCCGAAGTCCCTCCGGTCAGATGGACTCAACCCAGTCCAGCACCCTCAGCAACAACAACCTTTCATGTAAGAGACAGACTATTGTGATAGTACACCCATTGTCAGCTTTCAGGACTTATCAAATTCTACAGTTGCCTATTCTCTTCTTTTAAAAGTCTTGGTGGGGCCAAACGTAGACAAGGATGACGTGCACCTTGTAATGGAGCATTGTCTAATGTTGGCCCCATTTTCTGTCAGTGCATGAGGAATCTGTGGTGGACCTTTCTGTACATATTGCTGCTGATTAGGTGAAAACACATCATGCTACACCATGCTATAACCGCATCTCTTTCCCGTCAGGTGGCGTCCCGTTCATTGAGCAAGGCTTGTCCACCTCGAGCCTAGACAGCGCTGCTTCGTCCGTTTCCAGCCCTACAACCACAGACAGTGGCCTGGACACCTGTTCCAAAGCCACCTCCAGGGAAGACCTTTCTGACCTGGAACAGTGTAACTCATCTCCCACCACCCCTTGCACTGCTACCACACTTCCTGGGCCCGAGCCCGGCTCTCCGGATGCACAGGTGTGGATCAGTTCTTGCATCACAAACATTGTATTTATTTGATGAATATATGTTCAGCTTTTCCGTATCTCCATGTTGACTTTATGGAATGGTGTCTATTGTTGGTGACTCTGTGTGTATTCTAGTAGCTCTAATGAGATCCTCTACCATTTCTTTGGAACTAATATGTGACTTTAACTTTTATGACGACCAATGATTTGCGTTCTGTTTCCATTTGCGTCTAGTTTGAGGACAGGCAGGTTGGACCGGTTCATTCGGCCTCAGTGGAGTCCATCCCTGAGGTTCTGGAGGACAAAGACTCCGTTACAGAGCAATCAGACGGCACCTCTATCCATGACATGGACTATGTCAATCCCAGAGGAGTGCGTTTCACACAGTCCACACAAAGAGACGGTAAGGATGACTCTGAATTCTCTCTTCTTTTGTAATCTCACGTCTGTTTGTTTCGTATTGCTGCATCCCACTGTTTCCTTGCATGAAAAGATGGCTCTCTTGATACAGTTTCCAAAAATCAGTGCATACAAGTTGACTTTGAGAGCTCTTGGTGTTTTCTTTACACACTGAGAACATTGTCTTGAGACATGAAGACTATATCTACACTAATATGTTTCCGTTTAAAACCGGGGTTTTAAAACAAAAGCGATCCATGTCCACACACGTCTCTCACTCGTTTCCTCCGTTTCGTTGTTGTCTGTTCTCACACTCGTAGCTCTGCTGGTGGCTGAAGTCCCTGTTGCACTGGAGAGCATTTTGTTTACAGTTTCTTTGTGAACTTCACAGTAGTTGTGCAGAACAAAACAAGCATTAACAAGAAAAGGAAAGTCTTTTTGTCCGTCCTCCTCAAAGCTGCAAACCATGACTTCAGACGTCCACTCCGTAGGGCTGTTAACGCCGCTAGACTGATCGCTCTAATAACAGCTGCTTCCTCCGTATGTCAGCAGTAGTAGAGTTATGAAATGCAGAATATAACTGCACAACAGCTGCTAGTAAAGACAACAAGAACAGCAACACCTGTAATATGGTATCAATGTTGAATTAACCTGGTAGTCGATCGGTAATCAATGCTGCTGTTGTTTGTTTTCTTCTGGCGGTGTGACGAATGAGGGAAGGACTACTCATGACTGCTAAGACCCAATTAAGTAGCAAATGTAAAATGAGCGAGTGTAGTTGGTAAATGGACTGTACTTGTATAGCGCTTTTCTAGTCTTTCTGAACACTCAGAGCACTTTCACACTACTTGTCATCATTTACCCACTGATGGAAGGGGCTAGGTACCACCTGCCTATCAGACTATCCACATTCATACACCGTAGGCATAGCTACAGCTCTTGCTCAAGGACACATTGACTAGCGGAGCTGGGGATCAAACCGCCAATTCTCTGATTAAAGGACGACCCTGCTCTCCACTTAGCCACAGTCGCCACGTCTACATCATCCGTTTGCAAAGGTCCACATTTCTGCCGTCCACACTACGACTTAATCTCAGAGTCTTCAAACTAAACACGCGTTTCCAAGCCTCTCTGTTTTTGGGGGGGTTAAAACTCCGGAGTAGTGTGGATGCTAGATGTAAACATAGCAACAGATATGCATTTTTAAATGGAAAGGTAGTAGTGTGGATGTAGCCGAAGTCCTTTCCTAACCTCTGTCTCTCCTAAAGGAGCGTCCATTATCCCTTATGGCCTGCCATGTCTAAGGGAGCTTTTTCGCTTCCTGATCTCACTGACCAACCCACACGACCGCCACAACACTGACGCCATGATGCACATGGGCCTGCAGCTGCTGACTGTAGCACTTGAGTCAGCACGCATTACTAACTACCAGTCATTACTCGGACTGGTCAAAGATGAGCTCTGCAGACATCTCTTCCAGGTGAAGTACAATGTCGAAACCAATGCTCGTAGTGTTTGAATATACCTGTGTTTGTTGTTTTCAAATTGGTAAGAGTAAGATATTTTCCCTGCATTAGTGACAGTTGCTATGAGAAAGACCTTTTTTTCTAAAAGCTTTTTGAACAGTTTTAATGGTTTAACTAGCATCAAGAAAAAAACCAAAAGTTGTATTTGGAGAAAACTGGACTGATTTTCGATATTATTATTTGAATGTATCTTTTCTGATAATTATGTCTGTGTTGCAGTTGCTGAATGTGGACCGTATGAACCTCTACGCTTTCTCCGTACGAGTTTGCTTCTTGCTTTTTGAAAGCATGAGAGTGCATCTTAAGTTTCAGCTTGAGGTAAATATGTAACTAGTTTGTCGATCGTCTTGCTTTTTATTCATCAAATGATCTTTTTGTTTTGTCAGTTGACTGCCATCCATATAAATGGTAATCGTGATCCTGAGGAGCTAATAATCATCATCACCATTTGTGCTGACCTGGCAGATGTACCTAAAGAAACTGATGGACATCGTCACGTCGGAGAACATTAAGATGCCCTATGAGATGAAGGAGATGGCTCTGGAGGCACTGGTCCAGCTGTGGAGGATTCCCAGCTTCGTCACTGAGCTGTACATCAACTATGACTGTGACTTCTACTTCTCCAATCTGTTTGAGGACCTCACCAAGCTGCTGTCCAAGGTAACATCCATATAAGATCACTTTTAGCATCTTACTATTTCACAAATACTTTGTTGTACAGAAGAATGTGGAAGTCCTTCTTGGATAGGCCACACTTCAATCCAAGTGCTTCCTTTCTATTTGTAATGCTTTTCTTCATGAATCTTTAGCTACATTTTGTAGAACAAGAACTAAAGCAAAATCTGTGGGTGGTGAACATTTTATCTTCCGTCATTTTAAAAGTTAGTGTTCTTTACCACTGATGTGATGGATTTAAAAACATTACATTTTTAGGTTTTCTGCAGGTTTTATTAAGTCTTAACTTTTTACTTTACAAAGGTCTTGAATATTCTTTCTTTCCTGCTGTAGAAGGTAACATTTGTTATACACTGTCATTGAAAAGTTTGGAATCTTCTGCCAAAAAGCCTGCCTGTGTCCAGTCAGAAGTGTGAGAGGACTACTGCATTATGTCTTTATCTTGTAGAAAGTCTCTTCAGATAGAATAGGACACATTTCACGTGTAAATAAAAGATTTTTGTCTCTGTTGAAATAGTTATTTAAGATTTAAGAAGAACAACATTACTGTACCAGCTGATTCCAAACTTTGATCTTTAATCAGCTGGTTATGGTGGATTGTGCGCGCTGGAAGCTATTTTAGCCTTTCTGTCAGTTCTTTTTTCAGTCAGCTCCACCAGACCTATAGAAAAAATATAAATCAACTTTTGATTTGACTTTTTATCTGCATTTCTATTCTTTGACCTGTATGACTTGCAAAAGACACTACATTGCATTTTATGTGTCATTCAAAAACGGTCTTGAAAAGTCTTGAATTCAATTTGGTGAATGCCATCATTTTTTGCCATCAGAATGCGTTCCCAGTGTCGGGGCAGCTCTACACCACCCACCTCCTGTCACTGGAGGCTCTGCTCACAGTGATCGACAGCACTGAAGCCCACTGCCAGGCCAAGGTGCTCAACAGCACTGCTCAACAAGACCAGTCAGAAACACTGCTAGAAGAGGGAGAAGCTTCCACCATCAACGGAACAGACACTACAGCTGGTATACACATCACACTACTAATACTAATGATTATTACTACATCTTTAAGGTCAAAATACTAAAATAACAACTTGAATGTTAGAGAGTGTTGCCCTTGATAGTTTTTATTTTTTTAAAGAATGAATTTTGTTTTCGTCTACAGATCTTAATAGTCTGGGCAGCACCGATGATCTGAGTCTTCCACCAGCTGAGAATGCACCAGTGTGTCCACCAACCAGTGGACATCTGATGGCAGAGAAGATGAGACTGGGTAGACAGGATCAAGGAGACAATGACTCTGGTGAGACTTTGATCTTATGGACAGTTTTGCTTAACAATCTTCCTAAGCATTGAGATGGAAGCTGATTTAAATGTTTACATTTTTTGTCCGTCCAGCTGAGAAGAGAGCCCTGAAAAAGCCTCAACGTTTCTCGTCATTTTTACCTGATTCCCAAGAGTTGGTGGACATTAGAACCAAGAAAAAGGTGAGCGATATCGATTGATTTAGATTTGTTGTATCATTACACAACCACAATTAGTTATAAACTCTGTTGCTACACCTTCGAACCACCTCTTTCTATCGTATTTCCAGCTGCTGATCACTGGCACAGAGCAGTTTAACCAGAAGCCCAAGAAGGGAATCCAGTTTCTGCAGGATAAAGGTCTGCTCAGCAGCCCTTTAGACAACGACCAGGTGGCCCAGTGGCTCAGAGAAAACCCCCGACTGGACAAAAAGATGATCGGCGAGTACGTCAGCGATCGCAAGAACATGGAGCTCCTGGACAGCTTTGTCAAGTATGGTGAAGTTCCAGGGATTATTGCCCATTTGTTTATCATTCAAGTGTGATTTTTCAATCTGGTTTGAAGGGTGTAGAGGTTTTGGTTTCTATGAACATTGGTGTGTTTGATGTTAATAAAGTGCTAAAAGATGTTCGGTTTTGATAATGTCGATCTATTTTTGCAGCACGTTCACTTTCCAGGGGCTACGTATCGATGAGGCCCTGCGGCTCTACCTGGAGGCGTTTAGACTCCCTGGGGAGGCTCCTGTCATCCAGAGACTCCTGGAAACGTTCACAGACAACTGGCATGTAAGGCACATTTGGTCAATTTAATTTTACAGTCTGTATTACAATCTATTAGCACATTCAGATTATTAGAGAACAAGATTTGTAGCCCAACTGTCCAGAGCTGTGGACCTGTTATACTTCTGACTCAAGTCAGATTTTAACTACCAAGGTGAACTCAGTAGAGTGCAGGTCTCTCATTTATCATCGTTGCGTACACACAAAACCAAACCTGAAAGAGGCGTAGGCCACTTCCCACACAAAAGTTGTGATCTATAAAAACAAACTTGACAGGAGAATGTGCACACCTGAAACTTGTGACCAATGTGTACGCACATTTTAGAGACGCAGGTGACGCGGTGAAATGAAGCCAGACTGTAGAAATGAAATGTGAGAGGCGTCATTATACGTATAAAGACGCCTCTCACACATGTCACTTCATACCTCATGTGTACTTTGCACTTATAACTCCTCTTCATCATAAACAGTCAAACCAGCAGTGTTAGTTGTGCTTGTATTAGTGAGCTATAACTATTCCGTACGCACCATTCAATTGTAAAAGATATAAAGCAACTCAATATTTCACCAGCGCTTTCTGCTCTCCTCAGAGGAGAAGAGAGGGCCGATGCACCAACACTTACTGTATCTTCAGCTGTGGAGATAACGTTAGAAAGTGTTAAAGACTTGCAGAACAGACCGTCAAATGTTTTTTTAAATATTACCAAGTATGGCTTTAGTTTTTGTGAGGAAAATTGCTGCAGTGAAAATGACTATTTATTCATTTATGGTCTATTCCATAGAGACAAATGCAGCACACTGTAAACAGACAAACTGACAACAGCTATGTAATGTCACCATGGTGACTGTCAATCTACCTTCTCCAGTCACCTCACTTGGCATGTGTTCATCACTTGCACATAAGGAGTGTGGAAAATAAAGCCAGTAACAACTCTGGCACAATCACTCCATATCCATATTATCATATAATACAATCGAGCCAAAACACAAAGGGAAACTCACCGAGCTGTCTGTCCATTCAGCAGCGGCTGAGTAGTGGAGAGGCACAGCAGTGTGTGACTGCGGTCAAGTCAGCAGACACTCAGATCTCCGTGGTCAACTCAGCAGACACTTAAATTTTAGTGCAGGTCAACTCAGCAGACACTTAAATTTTAGTGCACCTATACGCTGAAACCTACGGTAAACGCAACCAAACGGCACAGATCGGGAGCAAGCGAAGGATTTTGCAAAGTTAGCGGAAAGATTAACGTGAAACAACTTCCGGTTTTCTACAGCCGAACATCCGGTTTTCAAAATAAGATGCCAACAAAGTATATATATTGCATAATGGAAATAAGATTAAATGAATTATATTCCAATAAGTATAAAAAAATGATACCTTCATCTCCTGAGTTAAAGGGAAAATACACCTAAATTGTGCGTAAAGTGTCTTTATTCTTTGATTTGAGGGTTACTGGAAATTAATAATACCTGACTGACAGTCAATTAAGATGTTTTACTAAGCAAAAACTCTGAACTGAATTTATATCTTCAAATGGCAAATTTCTGAAGTTTTTAAAATTTCTGAAGTTTTTAAGGTGCTATGAAAATGTTTTTCTCAATAATTCCCCACAATGACTAATACATATATGTTCAGGACAAAAAAAGGTTAATATCACAATATTTGAGCTGCTACAAAAATATTTGTCTCAATAATTCCATACAATGACTGATGTATATGTAATCAAGGCATTGTTGACTCCACCCATAGAGAAAATAAGACATTTTGACTGTACCAATTAAGAGATATTTCAAAGTAAATGTCATACATTTGAATCGAGAAAATATCTAATAAATGGATATTTGAAGT